GCTGGACTAGAGGTTCTGGTCTGGAGCCACCTTGTTAAAACCAAACATAAATACAAAGTCGGCCCTGTTACTGGGGGCCAGGAACATATTTGTGTATTTTGGGCACCATGGATGGACATGACATCACCCGGCTCTGTGCTCCGAAATAGCTTTTAGAGCTTACAAACTTTCCCTCGAACCTGCAAATCATCAGAAAGTGTGGGAATGGCGTTCCAAGGGTGGAATAAATCTTGAAAATATTGCCTATTTGTAACAAAGAGCAACAGCTTGATTCAGTGCTTACTGTCTAATATTTCTGTGTAAATGGAACTCTGGCCCGCGGAACGCCAGCCTCAGATGTATTGTAAAATGTTCTCCTGCAAGAGAGTGGATCTAATTTCAGACTCTGCTTGTGCAGCTGCCTGAGCGGCCCATCTGGAAGCAACTAGCAGGTCAATTTTCAAAGCGGTTTTCAAGATGCTGCAAATTCAGGAGTTGCGAACACACCTCATGCTCTCCACCTGCGCAGTTTGCAAGCTCTTTTTTACTTCTAATGAGGTAGGTGCCATCCTAGGAATACAGAGATCTCTGTGTGTGTGTGCATGTGCAAAGTCTCGGTCTAGAAGGGCGCCTATTATTCCCTCATTTATTTCTCGGGAAGAAGTCATCCTCAAAATATGTCATAATATACACTGCAACATGATCAAATGACCAAGGAAAATATACAAAACATCCAATGGCAGAAAAGGATCGTTTGTAGACGCGCCGAGCACATCTGCCATTTCCTGTGTGCGTGGGGGCTTCATACGAAGTGTCGGGGCATGACGTTTGGTAATTATATTTTATAGGCGTGTTTCGCTAATGGTAGCATGCACTGCTGCGGTCAAACTATAGCCCGATCATTTGTATTTATTTAACCAGACTATAAACTGCATATATGCGAATAACTTGACTGCTGCTGGCAGAAACAATGTAGCAAAAGCATCAGGAAAAAAAAATTAATTAAATTAAAAAACTGAAAAATTAAAAAAAAAAAGGAAAAAATTAAAAGGAAAGAAGAAGGACTCATTCAATGAAATGGGCACTTATCCTTTATACCATATAGAATGAATTTTCAGTTCCCAGAGGACCCCAGCTAATGATGATTATATATACGGCTCACAGTCCATTAGCATGATCAGTAAGCTGTAGATAGAATAATGAATGAAACAATAAAGAATGTTGTGTACGTAGCAAATTTAAAACCCAAAGTGTATTGTGGGGCAAAATTATTTTCAGTAATAGTCACGACAAGAAATGAACAAATATTATGGCCCAAAAAGAAACTTGGACAGTAAACATTGTAGTGTCATCTAAAATGGGCGGTCAGTTGGAGAATGCCACCCTTACATTGGGAGTTAGTGGGAGAAGGATCTCCTTAAATTGGCAGTCAGTGGGAGAATGGTCCCCTTACATTGGGAGTTAGTGGGAGAAGGACCTCCTTAAATTGGCAGTCAGTGGGAGAATGGTCCCCTTAAATTGGTGGTTAGTGGGAGAATGGTCCCCTTACATTGGGGGTCAGCTGGAGATGGATCTCCATTAATTGGTGGTCATTGGGTGAATGCCCCCCTTATGTTGGGGTCATTGGGAAAATGACCTCCTTAAATTGGCAGTCCATGGTTCCCTCACATTGGGAGTTAGTGAGAGAAAGACCTCCTTTAAATTGGTCATTAGTGGCAAAATGGACCCCTTACCGTGAAGGTCAGTGGGAGAAAGGCCTCCTTAAATTGGCAGTCAGTGGGAGAATGGTCCCCTTACATTGAGAGTCAGTGGGAGATTGACCTCCTTAGATCGGAGCTCCACCTAAAAGAGGTTTTGCTTTAAGTACTGGTCACCTGTGAGGAATTGGCACCTTAGGGGAGTGTGGGGGTGGTGCAGGTACCCGATTTTGATTTTGACAGGTACCCACTCCAACTGCGATCTCCTAGGCAATCAGAAGTGGAAGTTGTCTACCCCGTAGTCTTCTGGGACATGTGACAGGTCCCACAAGACTACAGGACCATTTAAAAGGCACAGCGCTACTGTGCCTACACTTAAGATGTCGGCGCTGGGAAGCGAGGACGGCTGGTGAAACTGACTGCAGTGAACACACTGCTGGAGTGTGGGACAGGTTAGTGGCTGTTTTTTTTAAAAGTCAGCAGCTACAATTTTTTTTTAGCTTTTTAGCTTTGACCGGAGCTCCGATTTAAATTTGTAGTCAGTGAGATAATGACCCCCTTACATTGAGAGTCATCAAGGAGAATAACCTCCTTAAATTGGTGGTCAGTGGGAAAATGGACCCCCTTACATGGGGGTCAATGGGAGAAGTGCCTCTTTAAATTGGAGGTCAATGGGATAATAGCTCTCCTACATTCGGAGAAAGTGGGAGAGGGATCTTCTTAAATTGGTGGTCATTGAAATAATGGTCCCCTTACATTGGGAGTCAGTGAGAGAAATACCTCATTAAATTGGTGTCAGTGGAAGAATGATTCAATTTTATAAGGGCCATTAGTAGGAACACTTTAAATTGGAGGTCACTGGGATAATGGTCCCTTTAAATTGAGGGTCAGTGGAAGAAGGACCCCACTAATTGTGAAAAAAAGAACTTATCATGCTCAACCCAGGTAACCCATGTAGGCTGTGAGGCAGACCATCAAAGTCCAATCTATATGATAGAAGCCGGCAATCACACAGGGACTGCAGAGATTACTTTATTGTAAAAAAGATAAGAGATCTATAACATAAAGGTCTACTGATTGACTTCTGTACAACCGCCCAGCTGGAAAAATTCTGCTCAATCAGAGCTGCAGGCAGTGGTGTATATAGCACTAGTGCTGCTCTGGGCAACACTAAAATTGGGTGTACCACCAACACCAGCACCCCCCCCCCCCACCCTAAGCCCCTGCCACCAAGAGAGAGAGTTAGTCAAGCACTAACCATAACCTCTGGAGACAAGGCCAGTATCTTCCTTCCTTGTGTGGGAAGCCTACACCCTCTAGCAGCACGTAACCTCCTTGGATTCCATGGCAGAGCTTCATCTGGTCCCCAGGTCCTCAACCAGCACCACCTCCCCTCCAAAAAATTGCTGCCCTAGGCAATTGGCTTGTTTGTTTTGTGGTAAATACACTGCTGGCTGCAGGCTCTTTCAGCGGAAATTTTTCCAAAAGGGCGGATGTACAGAAGTCAATCAGTAGATCAACTTCTGTTCAACAACAGTGCCTATCGTCACAAATTAGCCTGCAGTATCTGGTTTGTGTTCTTACCTCCTTGCTGCAGTGCTGTTCCTGATCCCTTCACATGTGTGTTTGTCTGTGCTCACCTATGGGCGTCATCTGCTATTCTCTGGGTTTTATTTCCTTCCCTTCCATCACTCCCTGAACCGGCTCCTTGTTTGCCTGCCTACTTAAGACATGCTCAGTCTAGGCCACTTTGCCTGAGCAACTTCCTAGTTGTCGGAGCTCCTGCGTGTTGCTATTGCCTGTATCCTGCATTGACTACTTGTGTACTGACCCCGGCTTCGTTCTCTGACTGTGCTTGTTTTTCGCCTGTCCTGACCTCGGCTAGTCAGGATTTCCATTTGTCTCCTCCCATTGTACTCTGCTCCCGTGAAGAGTCTCCTCATCCTGAGCTGGGTGTACCTTGGGGCCACGAACCTAGTCTCCAGCTTGCTGCAAGTCCATCCCCACATCAGGGGCTCTGAAGGCAGGCTTTAGACTCCGCACCCTGGGGAACCCCAAGTTGAGTATCTACAAGGGCTCACTGCCACAGGTGCTGACACCTATACATGGAACAAAATTCATCCAGTCCTTGCTGAGGCAGCTGAATTTCAATCCATGTATGGACAGCTTTACAGTGTAGATCAGAACAGTGGAATTTATAGAATGAAAGACATTCTACCAGGCTGCCTATATTTATTTATACCCTGAAAGGCAAATTACCAAACCAAAGCTGTTTTGCCTTATACAACTTCTACGTGTAGAATTGTCCCCAGCATACAATAATGTGATAGATTTCAGAAGGTCACCTGGGAAAGTCTGCAGGCTTGTCTAGTGTCTCCAAGTATAAAACCCTGTTGAAATCTATCGAGATAACGTCTTTCAGTCTGGCAGCCTCGGGTAGCATCCTAGTGGCATTCTTCTGACTGCTGACTGGCAGTAATTGTCTCTCGGCCCCCATAAAGCCAGAGAAATATGTGTCAGCTCAGTTCGGAAAGTTTGGGTGCCTCAATCGGGAAGTTTTGCTCGCTGTTTAAGGTCAGCACATTTATTTCTCGGAGGAGCACGTTGCAAAGTATTGTTAAACTGTAAGTTCATTGTGTTCATCCATCAAGAAACGGCCTTCATGTTATTGTCCAAGCGTCACAAAGCCATTCCCTGCTCTTTTTCTATGGCATTAATGAATCACTTTCAACCCGGCTTATATCAAACCTGGTCTCCCTCACCTTTCCTGAGTAAGGCAGTCATCTGCGCAAATCCTCATTCTCTTGAGATGAAATATTGCCGTTATTGTTGAAGTGCTTAGAGCTTGTTCACACCATTGCAATTTACCAAGCGTTTAACCATCAGGGAGAGCACACAGAACTTCTTGTCCAGGAGTGAGAAGATCTACTGAAAACCATTCGTGAGCTTTACATAGATGTCTATCCAGCACGCTGTTTTTACTGCACAAACTTCAAGAAGATTTTATACATTTTTGATTGCTATTTACTTAGTTGCATAGTTAGTCAAGTTGGAAAAAAACACAAGTCAACCAATACAAAATTAAATAAATGAAAAAATTAAATTAAAAATAGTTCAACCAATAGAAACAAATACAAAACCTTTATCTAGAGCACCTTCTACCCACAGTTGATCCAGAGGAATGCAAAAAAAAAAAACCTTATAAAGTATGGTCCAATTTCAAAAATTCCTCCTGATCCTTCGTAGGCAATCAGATATTCCCTGTATCAACATTCAATGGTTACCGTATTTTTCGCTCCATAAGACACACTTTGTTCCCCCCAAAAAAGGGGGGTAAATGTTAGTGTGTCTTATGGAGCGAATATGGAGCGGCCGGTCCGGTATTTCCACCGCCGCTGTGTCAGAATACCGGGCTGGCCGCTCAGCTCTGCAGCGGGACCTTATGGAAATGACTGCTGACCTTTGGGGAGGGGGGGGAGCGGGTACCTGAATTTGACAGGTACCCGCTCTTACTTCCGCGGAGTTGTTCTTTGACCTTACCTGTTCCTCTATCCAGCGGCGCGCTGTCTTCCGGCTTCTGTAGTGTCTGCGCTTGGCATGACAGCCGGGTGCCAAGTGCGCATGCGCAAGAAGCGGTGCTTTTTGTGAATGGTAAGGCGGTACCTGGGACACATGACAGATCCCAGAAGCCGCCGGACCAATCACAAAGCGCAAGTGCTTCTCGCTCATGCGCACTGGGCAACCGGCTTCTGGGATCTGTCATGTGTCCCAGGTAGCGCCTTACCATTCACAAAAAGCACCGCTTCTTGCGCATGCGCACTTGGCACCCGGCTGTCATGCCGAGCGCCGACACTACAGAAGCCGGGAAGACAGCGCGCGGCTGGATAGAGGAACAGGTAAGATCAAAGAACAACTCCGCAGAAGTGGGAGCGGGTACCTGTCAAATTCAGGTACCCGCTCCCCCCCCCCCCCCAAAGGTCAGCAGTCATCTCCTGTACTGTCCGCAGTCTCTGGTCATCCCTGTACTGTCCGCAGTCTCTGGTCATCTCCTGTACTGTTTGCAGTCTCTGTCATCTTCTGTACTGTCCGCAGTCTCTGGTCATCTCCTGTACTATGTCCGCAGTCTCTGGTCATCCCTGTACTGTGTCCGCAGTCTCTGGTCATCTCCTGTACTGTGTCTGCAGTCTCTGGTCATCTCCTGTCTGCAGTCTCTGGTCATCCCTGTACTGTTCGCAGTCTCTGGTCATCTCCTGTACTGTCCGCAGTCTCTGGTCATCTCCTGTACTATGTCTGCAGTCCATTAGTTCAGAATTTTTTTTCCCCTGTTTTCTGCCTCTAAAACCTAGGTGCGTCTTATGGTCAGGCGCGTCTTATGGAGCAAAAAATACGGTATATTACCTAGAATCAGGTTTTGTTTTTTTTTTGTGGGAACGTGGGAGAATGGAGTTCCGGCACCTCCAGCACTGAATGTATGTAAAGGCAAGGATTGATGGGGTATGTTGGAAGGTCTATTGTTGCTAGCTGCTGGAGTATCTATTTTCACTGGGGGGATCTCTTGTTGTAGGGGGTTCTATTGTTGCTGGGGAGGCCTATTGCTGATGGCGGGGTCTTATGTTTCTGGGGGGATCAGTTGTTGCTGGGAGGGATCTACTGCTGAGAAATGTGTTCATTCAGGAAAAAGTTACATCCTGCACCTTGGAATTTTCTCATCGATTTGACCCCATTAATGTATGGAAAATCAAATGAAGGTTCCAAAAATGAACATTTTAGAACAAACTACTACTACTACTGCTAGCGTATGGCCAGCTTTAGTGGTTCTTCAGAGTACAATAAGATTTACATGGCCCTGGGAGTTACAGAAGCTTCTTCAATCTATCATGGACCTGTTTTTGTGCAAAAAAAAAAAAAACCTCACTGGGCATGTAAGCAAAGGGATGGGGATAGTTAAAATAAAAACAAGTGTGGGGCATAATTCATACCAGACTCTTTCGGTCTTAGGTGGATATTAATAGCACTATGCAAAAATAAAAAACACAATCCCCCTCAAAAATCCACACCAAACTCTTATTTGCCTGGCAGGTCAGGAAAAGAGTGTGAACATGTCCCCCCTCCCCTCCTGAGACATACTAGGCTGCATGCCCTCAACATGGGGGGTATCCTACCTGGGGGGGACCCCCTAGCAAAGCAGCTTGTCCCCATGATGATGAGAACAAGGGCCTCTTCCCCACAACCCTGGCCCGGTGGTTGTGGTGGTGGTGGGGGGTAGATGGTCAGAGGGCTTATCATAATCTAGAAAGACCCCTTTAATAATATGGAGGCACCCAAATACCAGCCCCCCCATGTAAATGAAGACAGGGTGCATAGTACCCCTTCTCATTAAAATAGAAATGTAAAATAGAGACAGTCAGTTTCTTTAATTAAAAAAATCCCCCCTCCCCATGCCATCTGTTTGGCAATCCCTAACATATTAGCCTAAAAAAGGCCATTGCTGTTTTTTAATCTTTGGCTCCCATTGATATTATTAGAGTTCTGATTCGGCACCCAACCATTATTCATGTTTGCCGAACCAACCGACATGGAAGAAAAATATATTTTAAAAATATTCTTCCCAAATATATTGACATCTATTTGAAATACTACAATTTTGGTCATATTCAATATATTTCAAAATATATTTTTATATATATATATATATATATATATATATATATACACTGCATGTTGAAATGCATTTTAATATATTACAAAATATATGAAAAATATTTTTTTAAATATATATTTTTAAAATATAGTCTTCAGATTTTTTTTTAAACATATAAAAAAAGTAATTTTAACATATTTGTAAATGCATTCAAAAAATGTAGATTGAATGTATTTTTAAAGACATACAGTATATTTGAACATTTATTTTTAAAAATATTTTTCACATATTTTGTAATAAAAATGCATTTCAACATACAGTGTATATATATATATATACATATATATATGTATATATATATATATATATACACACAGTGTGGAACAGAAGTATTTGAACACCCTGCGATTTTGCAAGTTCTCCCACTTAGAAATCATGGAGGGGTCTGAAATTCACATTGGAGGTGCATTCCCACTCTGAGAGACAGAATTAAAAAAAAAATTCAGGAAATCACATTGTATGATTTTTAAAGAATGTATTTGTCTTGCACTGCTGAACAGAAGTATTTGAACCCCTGAGAAAATCAGTGTTAATATTTGGTACAGAAGCCTTTGTTTGCAATTACAGAGGTCAGACGTTTCCTGTAGTTCTTGACCAGGTTTGCACTGCAACAGGGATTTTGGCCCACTCCTCCACACAGATCTCCTCTAGATCTGTCAGGTTTCGGGGCTGTCGCTGAGCAACACGGAGTTTCAGCTCCCTCCAAAGATGTTCTATTGGATTTAGGTCTGGAGACTGGCTAGGCCACTCCAGAACCTTGATATGCTTCTTACGGAGCCACTCCTTGGTTCTCCTGGCTGTGTGCTTCGGGTCGTTGTCATGTTGGAAGACCCAACCACGACCCATCTTCAATGCTCTGACTGAGGGAAGGAGGTTGTTGCTCAAAATCTCACAATAAATGGCCCCATTCATCCTCTTCTTAATACAGTGCAGTTGTCCTGTCCCCTTTGCAGAAAAGCACCCCCAAAGCATGATGTTACCACCCCCATGCTTCACAGTAGGGATGGTGTTCTTGGGATGCAACTCATCCTTCTTTTTCCTCCAAACACGACAAGTGAAGTTTAGACCAAAAAGTTCTCCTTTGGTCTCATCTGACCACATGACTTTCTCCCATGCCTCCTCTGGATCATCCAGATGGTCATCGGCAAACTTCAGATGGGCCTGGACATGTGATGACTTGAGCAGGGGAACCTTCCGTGCAATGCATGATTTGAAACCATGACAGCGTAGTGTTCTACCGACAGTGACCTTTGAAACTGTGGTCCCAGCTCTCTTCATGTCATTGACCAGCTCCTCCCTTGTAGTTCTGGGCTGATTCCTCACCTTTCTTATCATCAGTGATACCCCACGAGGTGAGATCTTGCATGGAGCCCCAGTCTGAGGGAGACTGACAGTCGCCTTTAGCCTCTTCCATTTTCTAACAATTGCTCCAACAGTTGATCTATTTTCACCAAGCTGCTTGGCAATTGCCCTGTAGCCCTTTCCAGCCTTGTGGAGGTCCACAATTTTGTCTCTGGTGTCTTTTGACAGCTCTTTGGTCTTTCCCATGGTAGTAGTTGGCGTCTGACTGACTGTGGGGTGGACAGGTGTTTTTAAAGAGCTCAGACAGGTGCTACTAAGTTAGATTAATGAGTGGAGTAGAGGTGGAATTTTTAAAGGCGCAGTAACAGGTCTTTGAGAGCCAGAATTCTTGCTGTTTCTTAGTTGATCAAATTCTTCTGTTCAGCAGTGCAAGACAAATAAATTCTTTAAAAATCATACAATGTGAGTTCCTGAATTTTTTTTTTTAATTCTGTCTCTCAGAGTGGGAATGCACCTACAATGTGAATTTCAGACCCCTCCATGATTTCTGAATGGGAGAACTTGCAAAATCGCAGGGGGTTCAAATACTTCTGTTCCTCACTGTATACAGTGGGGATCGAAAGTTTGGGCACCCCAGCTAAAAATGTGTATTAAATGTAAATCACTAATTCTCCCCAACTCTTTGTAAGCACACTTCACCTCTACCCTTAGAGGTGTACAAATATAAATATAGATATGCTCAGTGACAATTAATAAAAAGAACCTTTCATTATATAATAATTTCAAAAATCCAAAATCTATAATTTTTCAAATTAAAGTCCAATTTCAAATTAAAGTCCAATATCACAATAAAATAAAATAAATAAATACGTGTAGTCCAAAAAATTGATTCAAGTGTAAAAACTCTCCGCTGCTTGCAAAAACCTGATTACCTCAAAAAAAAAAAAAAAAAAAAATATACATAGTGCATTATCCTTTATAAATAAAAATTTACATGTGAGATCATTCCGATAATATTCACCCAAGTGAAAACACGTGT